TAAACTCACTAAGAAGGGCCGGCCATTTCGCTCAGTGGATTAAAACGCCCGCAAGCTGGTGCAGGGACTGGGGGTTCGATCCCCGGGCCTGCAGCGCTGGCCCTGCCCCCGGGACATGGTGAGACGGCAATGGAGACAGGGCGTGGTGGTGCACCCCTGTAATCCCAGCTCTTGGGAGGCTGTAAACAGACGGATCCCTGAGTCTGATCTAGTAGTGAGCCCCTGAACACCCTGTAGACCATTCCCTAAAATACAAAAAACAAAACAAAACAAAACAAAGAGAACCTCACTAAGTAGCCCAGGGTGGCCTCAGGCTTGTGGCAACTCTCTTGCCTCAGCCTTCCGAGGGCTGGGACTATGGGCAGGCACGTACTGTCACGTCTGGAAAATGGTGAGATTTAGACTTAGGTGTTCGTGGATCAGAAGTCAATATTGTGGAGATGGCACTATTTGACACCTTGGTCTACAGGTGCTAGGCAATGCTGATCAAAATCTCAGCAAGTTATTTTGTTGATGTTGTCAAACTGCTTCTAGAGTTTAGATGGAGAAACAAGACCCAGAGCATCTAACTGAATAATAAAGTAGAAAAAGAGCTGGCTGTGGCGTCTCAGGCCTGTAATCCTAGCAGTAGGGAGCCTGAGGCAGGATGACCACTGTGAGTTCAAAGCCATCCTGGGCAAAAAAGTGAGTTCAAGGTCAGCCTGAACTGTATAGCAAGACTCTGTCTCAAACAAAGAAACAACCAAAGCCAAGTAGAAGAACAAAGACTGACTTGACTAAAATCTTTCTATGAAGTTACAGTGATCACTCCCAAAAGGTGTTGGTGCAAAAACAGATGGCTAGCTCAGTAGAACAGAATGGAGAGGCAGAAACAAATGCATGTAAATGTAGCCAACTGCTGTATGACAGAGGAACAGAGGCCACACAGTGGCGCTAAGTAGCCCTTCCAACTAATAATGCCAGGATAGGACAGCCACGTGCAGAAAAGAAAAAAAAAAGTCTAGACAGTACACAGTTGTGCTTTGAATCTGGAATATTCTACAAAGGCCACATACTGGGGGCTTGGTTGACAACTGATGGGCTTTTTGAAAGTGATTGGAGGGCTGGGGAGATGGCTCAGTGGACTAAGCGCCTCCCTGGCAAGCGCAAGGACCTGAGTTCAATCCCCGGTTCTGCAAAAAAAAAAAAAAAAAAAAGAAAGTGATTGGATCATTTGGCTCCAACCTCACCAGTGGGATAATCCATGATGTATATATAATCTGTCGGCATTATTCGAAGTTGTTGGAATCCATTGGTCTTTCAGTGTGATCCACTGAACCCAGGGGAGAAATGACAGCAGGAATGAGGAAAAGATAGAGGAGAAGACAAGAGCTGGGTCAGGTGCTGATAGCAGGAGACTTATCTAGGTGACTTTGCTCGTGGTAGCCTCAGGGAAAAGCTCTGTGAGCAGCTCCCAACATCCGAGAAGGCAGACTCAAGTCTAGTCCATTTGGCATTGAATCTGAGCGCCCAGCTTCCTCAACAAGGAAACCCAGCATGCATCAGCAGTGTGGTGGATTAACTGATGGTCAGCTTGTTGTTGCTTTTTCCCCCGGAATCAGGGATTGAACTCAGGCCCTTGCGCTTGCCAGGGAGGCACTTATTCTACTGAGCCATCTCCCCGGCCTGATGGTCAGCTTGTGACACCAAGGTGAACTGAGTCAGCGTGGTGCCGGGTATGGAGGGCCCCCCCTGAGGATTGCTGCCAACAGGTTAAAGGAGAACCAGCAGGGAAGGCGGTGAACTGTTGATTCTCCTGGAGAAGTGTGTCATGCTGGTTTTCTTAGTATCAAGTTGGCTGTTCTCACCACTAGGGGAGCCTGAGTACTTGCTGTCCTTAAGGATAGCTGGGGTGCATTTCAAGTGACTGCTGGTCCTGACCTTGAGGGTTGTTTCCTGGCTCCAGCGCAGATCCCTCAGCCTGCTGGCGTGGATCCTTCATCCAGCTGGCTCAGACTCTCTAGCTTCCGCCACTGACCTTGGGGTCTTCCCAGTGCAGATCCTCCATACAAACTTGCATGAGACGCTGTTATGGGCTCCAAGCCTCCAGCTAGACTCGAGCAGGACATTGTTGTGGGATCCAGGCACTCCGCTGGATCTTTTGGGTCTCTAGTCTGTGGACAGATCTCTTACACAATTCTGCATTTGACTCTGGGTGAATATTATGAAATAATCCTATAAATAGTGTGTCCCATATTAAATCTTTTCTCTTGAAAAATCCTGACTACAGCAGGAGGGTTCCAGTGGGCAAAGCTAGAGGTAGTCACTGCCAGGATCAAAGTCCACCGTCCAGGAAGCTGGGTGGGCAGCGCCCAGCAACGGCACAGTGCAGAGGCCTAGGGCGGGTTTCTCGTTTTCCTAGAATGTAGGGAGTGCTCAGGGCCTGTGGGGCTTCTCCCAGTGAAGGCTAGACCCCCCCTTCCCAGGGAGAGTTTTATTTTTGTTTTCATTTATTACCCTTTATTTAAAGAAAAAAAACTTTTGGGGCTGGTGAGATGGCTCAGTGGTCTAAAGCACCTACTTAGAACAAGCTAAGCCGAGCAAAGCACAGGGACCGCGGTTCGATCCCCCAGCACCACATGCCAGCCAGCCCCGCCCCCTGGTGGGCTGAGCTGGCCACACACACACACACACACACACATAAATAAATAAATAAAGTTTAAAAAGAAAAAAAAAAGAAAAAAAACTTTTACTTGAGAGACAGTATGGTAATAATTGGCATGTTATGACAAGAAGTAGGTATTTAGAAGACCAGAATGACAGGCAGTCCAAGCATGATCCTTCTATTACACATTGCTATCTTCAGTGCAGTTGCTTGGTTCACAGGTATCAGCATATATAGTTAGTCAGGGTGAAAATCCTACCAGTTAACTGCTAGTTTCAAAAACCTGCTGATGTTTCTCAGGATCATTGCCTTGCCCATCTTGTGCATATAAATGTATGGCTTTGCCCTGTCATGTTTCCTCACTTTTCTGTTTGCTCTCTCCTCATTGTCCAATCCTCAAGTTCTCACTTTCCTTTTAATTGTGTTATACCTTTCTATTTGTAATTCTTCTTTTGAGTTCTTACATTAGGGACAACAATACACATATTGTTGATATTTACACATGTCCAGGGAGAGTTTTAAATGGTCTTGGAATACATATGGCGGCTAAGGCTCATGGCAAATGTATGTGTGTCGGGGTGGGGGCAAAAGCCTGTAAATGAGGCCACACTGGAAAGGCAAGGTCAAACGCGTCTACTTGGGCTCTGACGCCCTAGAGGTGTAAGGCTGACTATTGGGGCCCTCTCAGCACTTGCCACCCCCCTTGTTGGGAGGCTGATGCTAAAATTGACTCTAAGTGGGAGGACAGGATGAGGCCTCATTGCCCAAAGCAGTCAAGCTACCTCAATCTTGAGAAAAACATCCTGCCTGAACCTTGTGGGCTATTAGAGGCTAGGCAGCCTTGTCTTGCAGCTTCCAAAAGGTATAAAGGCCCTCACTGTTCTGGGGGCCCATGGCCAGGAAGAAGAGCTGCCACCCACCGCAGTTCTAGTCATATTGTCTCTTCCTCTTTCCTGCCGTGGTTCCTCCCCAGGTACAATGGATCACACTGAGAGACCCACAGATCTCTAGAACGCGTCTCTGCTCCTATCTCAAGCTAAGAACAGGTTCCTGGCGGTGACCCAGGCAGGCTTGTGGGCGCCACAGTGGCCCTGGGGGCCTTCAGAGGAGTCACCAGACTCCAAGCGTTCCTCTCTGGCTCAGCTGCTGCCCTCGGGGGCCAGCTCCTACCTGCCTACTCCCTCAGTCTGAGAAATCTAATTCTGCTTCAGTGAAGAAGGTAGTTTGGTTTTTTGTTTACCTCTAGAGGAATGTTTTATCTTGACCTGGACCAGTTGACACTGCGTCCCAGTTAACCCCACTTGTTTCACAAGTGCGATGTGTCTGGGGGATTGGCTTTATAGATAAAAGGAGCCAAGGGTAGGTGACAGCCAAGCGTTGTTCCTGTGGCGCTGCTGCAGGGTAGGAGCGATCCGGGACCGCGGTCGGGCCGGGAGGACGCAGGCGCCGTGCAGGCGTGCACAGGCCGCGGGCCGAGCCAGGCCGGGGGTGCTCCGCGGTGCAGGAGCCCCAGCGCCGGGAGCCGCCGGCCAGGCCAGGCCAGTTTTGTTACTGTGCATAGCTCGGTGGCCTTGGTGGGGAACAAACAGGACGTTACAAGAGCAGGCGGCTGCGACAAGCTGCTGATTTCATAGAAGAACAAAGACCCACAGCGGAGGTGTAAGGGAGAACTAATTGCTTAGGTCGGGGACACTCGACTTTCGTTTTCCGCAGCGCGGCTCACACCGCAGCGCGGAGGACGGCGCAGGGCCGGCAGCCCGCGTCCTCGGCCACCCTAGCGCCCGCCACGCCCACCGGGACCCCGGCCGCCCGCCGGCGAGCCTGGCGCCCCCAGCCCGGTGCGCGGCGCCCGCAGACCCTGCTGTGTCCTCTCGACCCCGCTCCGCTGCTCTCTGGTCTAGGGGGAGCCCGGGGCGCCGAGGGGGCGGGGCGCGAGCCGGGCGCACGGATGCCGAGACGCTGGTCCTCCCGGGTCCTAGAGCAGCCTCGCAGGGCCAGGCGGCGGCGCGCGCGCACGACCCGCGGCCGAG